TCGATCCGTTTGAACCCGGATCAATTCCGGGTTCAACCCGAATCCATCTCAAAACTCAATTTTGACACCCCTAAAAGTACTTGTTAATAGTATATATCACTATTAACTTTAAATTGAATTTATTTTATTTTTAATAAAAGAACTATTTAGGGTTTTATTTAAGGAGTCCACCAACTAAATATAAATTTTAATATATATTGGGATTGAAACAAGTCTCAACAAATAGTCAAAGATTATTTTGATCTTTTTTTTTTTTCTTATTTTCCTCCCACCCTCCCCCGCAGATGCACGCACAACGGTACTTAAACATTGGAGTTTTTTTTTTTTTTCATTAAGCCGTTTAGTTAACATTTGGATAAGAAAAAATAATAATTTTTAATCTCATTAAAATTAAAGAACTGATGGTTTTATTATCAAATTGAACGCAAAAAAACCTTGCCTAGTTTATCATTCAACACTGGTTAACAGTTGAAGCAAAAGATTAGAACAAAATAAGTAAATATTTAGCAATAAATTGCTTTATTTAAAGATTTAAACCGTTACCATTTCTTTGGAAGGCTAAGGGCTAGTAATAATTGGCAATGTCTTTAATATATATTAATACTTAGAGTTGTCAATATTTTGACACGATCTTAAAATCCGACTCAAAATTCTGAGTTAGAGCCAACCTGTTTGTGAAACATGTCGAGTTCGGGATGAACCAGAAACCCGGGAATGACTTAGATTTTGACCCGATGCACTTGAAAACCTGAAATTAGAAATCTCAATTCCCGCCCCCACTCCGGCACTCACGAGTTAACCCGACCAAATGACAGCCTCTCCCTATGTCTCGCGCCTCTCCCACTGACTCGCGGCCCCACCTCCCTTCGTCAGAGCTTATATGGCGAGTCCGCACTTCGACGACATTCCTTCCTTCCTCTTCTCCGGCTTCACCTGCATACTGCACTGAGCCGCTGTCGCACTCACGTCGAGGTAGGCATGCACGTGGCTATCAGCGCTCAATTTGAACCCTAAATGTGTCCGCATGTCGGGTCGGGTCCAGGTTGAACTATCTATCCCATTTGCAAAAACAGGTTGGGTTCAGATGAGGTCAAATAGTGCCGGATCAATTACAAATTCGACTCGAACCCTACCTATAATTGGATTTTGACAGCCTTACTACTGCTAAATGTAAATTGAAAGAAGATTTGAAAATGTTCTCACGTGCATGTTTGAATAATAAATTCCATTTATTCCTTAAAAATCAAATCTAGAGTGTAACAAAAAATAAGTCTAAAAGATGAGAATAATCGGCGATATTACATATAAATCCCCATAAAATGTCATTTGTATCCTTCTCTTCTTCATTAATTTTATCCAATTATCCCACGTGATATTTTCTCTAATTTGTGCTTTGGATGGAGATGATAACAAAAGGATGGAAATTTAAATAGTAGAGTTACTCTACAAGTTAAATATTATGGTGATTTTTTTTTATTTATTAATGAGCCCCTAGTTACATCTCCTTCTCTATTTATTTATTCAACGGTTGTTTGTTCAGCTAAAAAAAAAATAAATTAGTGGAAATGCAATGAATTTCAAATTTTTAGTGTTTAGTTTGATGACAAAGAAATACATAGTAAAGATCTAGTAATTTGTTTTCACTCTCTAATTTATTCTTTAGGAATTGTAAACCCGTCCATTGTTGGCCGAATTCATTTTTCATCATAAGCTGATTGGGTCATCATCAGCCACCGTTGAGGTGCTGACTGTCAGCCTTCATTGAAATCTATATTGCCAGGGGCAGATCTCCCTATTGCCGAAGGAGGGCAATTGCCCCGCCCCCTAAAAATATTTAAAAAATTTTCATTACATGAATATTTAGGTAATTTGTCCCCTCCATCTTTTTTTCTCTTTGTTATAAGAGTCTTTAGGCAATTGCCCACTCTAAAAAAATTAAAATACTATGGCCTTTAGACGAATGGCCCTTAGCAAAACTAAACATATTGTATATAGGTGTTATTTATAAGTTTGCCTCCCCTAAGAACTAAGTCTGATTCCGCCCCTGGATGTCGCCATCACCGACATCGATTGACACCGTTGCCGCCACCACAATCGACTGCCGATATTATTGATTGTTGCCACCACCGACCATAGGTACAACCAACGGCATGGCATCACCACAAATTGCCGCCACCACCAACCACCACAATGATACTTTGCATTGCATTCAATCATTCATTTTACTTGAAAAAAAAAAATACTATTATCGCCTGCATTTTTTTGCACTCATTCAAACAATTTCAAACTTATCATATTCATTTTACATAAATTTTTCAATTTCAACAAATCAAATAGCCTCTTAAAGAATTTGATTTTACACTTTCGTTCAAGACTACTACCGCACATAGGATTTGATGAATTTGTTGATATATAGGATTGAAGTTTGATATATATATCACATCCTTTACTCACATCCAAATTAACCTAGCCAGATAGATTAGATGAACAATTTATTTTGATTAAGGCTTCATTTGGAACGGCTTTCTTGCTGTTTTTTAGTACAAATTTTTTAGTTCAAAAATTCTGTACTAAAAAGTTATTTTAAAAAGCAATAAGAAAGTTATCAAATCTTACTGTATTGTAAAATAACTTTCCAACAAAAAAAATTTAGTTTAAAATATTTTTTACTAAAAAATATTTTTAAAAATAATTAAAAAAAATAGTTCGAAACAAACCTAAATCTGCATAAAGTAGAATAAAAATTGGGCTAAATAACTTGAAAATTTGTTGCAATGAAAGAGTACGACAAAAACTCAATTGTGGCGTCCAATAGGGAGACTTCACATGCAAATTGATAAATAAATTTACAAGATTATTGCCTACAGACTTGTAGAAATTCACAAGAACACCACTCAAGCCCTCTGCAAGCGTAATGAAGGGGATGTCGTGCGTGCGTCCGTTGGTCGTGCTCCGTTTTCTTCTCAATAACGGCACACACAGAAACAGGCGAAGGCATTCGTTTCCCTCCCATTCCCATTCCACTGAACGAATGCACAGCGGCGGCAGCGGTGACTGCAAAAAACTCCCGGCGACGGAGACGCCGTCGCCGACGACGGCGACTATGAAAAAAGGGCCATGGACGGCGGAAGAAGATAAGGTTCTTATGGACTACGTCAAAAAGAACGGCGCTCGTGACTGGAGCTCCATTCAATCCAACGGTCTTCTTCCCCGAACAGGCAAATCCTGCCGTCTTCGCTGGGTCAACAAACTCAGACCCAACTTGAAAAGGTAATCTCAGTCAAAGTTCAGATTTTTCGTAAACAAAAAGGAAAAAAGTTTAGTTTTTTATTCTATTCATCATTCATATTCCTATTCCTTTCAAATTGTTGACGTGATTGTAATGTTATCACGAGTGAAGTGGATGCAAATTCACTTTAGAGGAGGAGCGCACGGTGATCGATATGCAGGCAAGATTTGGGAATAAATGGGCACGAATTGCAACATTCCTTGAAGGTAGAACGGATAATGATGTCAAAAATTTTTGGAGTACTCGGCAAAAGAGACTGGCTAGGCTTTTGCAAACTCCACTTCCAGTCAGATCTCAGAGGAGGCAAAAGAACTCACCTGTATCTTCTCAAGTGCCTGATTCTGAGGTAATTCGATAAAAAAATTATTTTATAACTGATTATTATGTCATTTCTCTAATTCACTTCATAAAATGTTATTATTAACTGTTAATATGATAATGATAGGGTGTTTTGCTGCCAAATGAGAATTCTCCCTCGCTAGACCTCATTCAAATTACAAAAAATTACTCAAATGATCAATACAGCTATGCACCATATGTTGAAGGCCAAGATTCCACTAAAATTATGGAAAGTCTCAATCTTGATGCAGCTACAACTCTTCTAGAGCCAGCCATTATCAGAGACTCACCTCAACTGTCAATCGATCACTCCTTATTTGACCTCCCTCCACTTGCAGAAGAGCAGCCAGGTGAAATAAGTTTCCATGATCATTTTATTTTGGAAGAAAACTTCGACCCCATGGAGCTTCCAATAACACCGCCGACGACATTCTTTGACGACGTAGATTTTGATGACCATTATAAGCAAGTAGAGCATCCAGGGACACTAGAAAGCATCTTCGACGATAAGCTATTTGGTGACTGAAATTATGCTCGTTAGTACAGATATACGGCTAGATTATTGCGCCTGCTGTTTTATCAGTTTTTTCTATGCTTCTTTGAACTAGTGTTCTCATTAAATATGTCAAGCTTAGTGCTTTCTTTATTAAATATAATTTATAGAAGTTTGGTGTACTTTCTTATTGCTTAGTTTTGTACTATTTTTTTATTCCTTTTCCTAAATCTGAGTTTTAGTAAAAATTTTGTACTAAAATTTTATTTTAAGAAGCAATAAAAAAAGTTATCACAAATGAAGTCCTAGTTTTCCGACATATAGAAATTATTATGTGCAGCTGACTGAATGTCAGGGTGACGCGACATTTTCTGATTAACCTTCGAACAATTATCGCTACATAATAATCTCCCTTCTCCGGCCTAGTCATGCTCTGTTTTCATCTCAGTAATAAGACGCAGATAAAATTGATTAATGACAAACATATTGCTCTGTTTACATGTATATAATTTATTTTAAAATATTTAATAATTAATTTAAAAACTACTTAACAAGTTTTCTTTATATAATATTATATAAATACTTTAAATAAATATATATAATTTTAAACTATATGATTGATACCTCATCAAAAATCAACTTAGGCTTCGTTTGAGACGGCTTTTTTATTACTTCTTAGAATGGAGTTTTAATACAAAAATTTTAATTTTTATATTGAAACTCCGTTCTAAGAAACAATTAAAAAGTCGTCCCAAACGAAACCTTAATCTGACATGAATCTTAAGGCGTATTTAAATTTTGGAACTCAGGATCTTCTAAACTATGATTTTAGCAAAGTTATAGTCAAATAGACGTCACGCCAGTACCTAGCAGCACAAAAATTGGAAGATTCTCTTATACCATAAAATGTGTTTTTTATCACTACCTCCCAGTTTAATCCTCTATCCGGCCTTAATCATAGCATACCATTTTTTAAAAAATTACATTTTATTTTAGTACTTTAACTATTTTTTTGAGTTAAAAAACACTTAAAACAATTTTCACTTTTTTAACCCAAAAAAAAAAAATCATCACCTATTCAATGAAAATAAAAATAAACATTTAAGTTATTAAATATATTTTATTTAAAATCAAAATAAATAATAATAAAATAAAATATCCACTCAAACCACCCCTTAATTTATGATAAATTTTGATTGTTTTTTAAATTGTAAAAATGCATTTAAAAATGCCAATTTTGGTAATCCTTTGATTCTATATATGCTATGCTACTAGATTATCTTTTGTAACTGAATTTACTATTTATTTAATTATAGCTTCGACAAAGTTTTAATACTTACTGCTAAATATTATAAAAAAAATCAAGCAAAGAAAAAAAAAACTTCAGCCAAGCCAAGAATGTGATTACGAACTCTACGGAGTAAGAAATTATAATTTTATTTTGTAATAAATTTAAAAGAAAAGATTTATAGATAAAAAGGCTAAGTAAAAAAACACCCTTTTTTTTGTAGTAAATTAGCCGCTTCCATCACTTTGGAGTGAAAGAAACCCACTCAAAGTTCCTAATGTTATCAGGGCTGGAAAGATTGCACTTCAAAGAAAGTATTGACAATTCTTCGTTACCTTACACGATGAACCAAACATCAAAGTCTCAAAGATGAAGAGGATCTGAGCACCAAAACTTCCAAGTTAGTAGGCTTTGATATGCACGTAATGATGGAGATGAAAACAAGATCAACACTTGAAAAGGTCAGCTCCGTCCTCAACATCATCAGTTCTGATGCCACCACTCTGAGCCATTAGTATTCGGAAGATTCTCTTAGAGCAAAGCTCACCGAACCTTCTATTTTCTATTCCTAGCGATCCTTCAACCATCAAATCCTTAAGTAAGAATTCTTTCTCGTGCACCTGAAAGAAAGGAACAATTTTCAATAATAATTGATGCGTTCTGGTCCTGTTTACTCTGTTTCTGTTTCATGAAAAAACTTACAGATTTGTTTGAATCCAAGTATACATCCAGAAGAGATCTCATGGTTGGATATTTCTTCCAGATTGCAATAGCATGCTTTGGCTGTACTTTAGGTATGACTGCCAGTGCTTTCAGCCTGCGCATATTGCGTTATCAGAAACATAGATTTCATTAGCACAAATAGTTATATATTTGGTGCTCAAGAGGAATGTTAACAGTTGAAAGATTATTCATTTATTATTGTTTTTTAGGATTTGAGCCTCGACCTCCCCTTCTGGGGACAAGGAGCTACACCATTGGGCCACATGCTTAGATGCATGAACAAGTGAAATATGCAATGATGGTTGAACAGGGATCAAAAACATTGTTGGATTGAAACTAGTTGTTATGCTCTACTATGAAATGCAAAATATTTGAGCTTCATCATCATCTAAATGCAAGGCTTTTGCAACAAAATGGAAGTCTGTTAGACCGGTCTAGCCGGTCCACATGGGACCGGCCCAAGCGAAACAAATGTGGAAGTTCCGCCTCTCCTATACGAGCCGAACGCACGACCAAGCACCGTAGAGCTGTTTAGGAAGGTTTTTGAAGGAAGTTAGGAGTGACATTTCAAAGTAGGGGTTGTTTAGAGATTCCTTTTGGATTGTATGCAATTTTTTTTTCTCTTATTTCTAATTTTGGATTGTATGCATTAAATAGTTTGTTTTCCTAGGGTTAGGGCATCTTAAAATTTGGCTGAAATTTGAGATCTCTTAGTAATGTAGAACGAAAAATGCTTTGCTAGGGAAGGTGGACAATCTCCAAGTGTCTCCTCACAAAAGCTGAAATGTCCCTTCAGAAAATCTGAAATTTTCAGAATTTTCTATGGGAGAGGGTGGAGAGAATTATAATTAATGCCAAGGAGAGGTAGAGATTTGAGGAATTGCTGTGAAGAAGTTAACAAGAACAGTTACGGTAAGTGACATTGTTTCCAGCATACAATTCCTTCCATGAAAGCTGAAATATTTCAGATATTACCACAAAATCTGAGAGGAAATTCAGCAGGTTAATAAGCAGAGGAAGGGATGGAATTCAATTCCTTGAATCCGTGAAAGGAGTTAGGGAAATAGAATAGGAAATAAAGTCCAGGGAGAATTCGGCTAAGGCTATGGAGTCAGATTTTAGAAGAAAATCCACTAAGGGGGGAAGCGGTGTGCTGAGAGAAAATTTAGGAATTAAATTCAAATTCCTATTCTAAATCCCAAGAGAGAGGGAGCGGCAGCAGTAATGGGAAAAGGGGTTAATACAAAGCCTTAATGCCTGCTAATCGTGAGATAATTATTTAATGCTCAATTGAGATTGTTTCCAAAAGAGAGGACTTAAGAGTATTAATTAATGGGTAGGTGGCAGGCGTAGGCTAGAGATGAATTAATGGGTAGGGATTTAATTCCTGCTACAAAACTCCTTAGATTAGGGAATCAATTAGGAATTTAATCAAAATCTGAATTTTAATTTCAGTTTTAATTAAATTAGGAGAGAATTGATTTGAATTTTAAAATTCAAATTAAAGAAATTAATGCCATGAATGGGGGAGTAAAGGAGGGATCCCAAAGAGGGGGCCGGCGGGTCTAGGGAGAGAGGGGAGAGATTAATTCAAATCCTAAAATTAATTTCAAGATTTGAATGAAAATGAGGGGAAATTAATTTGAAAATTGATTTCAAATTAAGAGGCCATTAATGCCTTAATTGGGGAATTGATGGGAGGAACACCAATTAGGAAAGATTTCAAATTTGAAATTTGAAATCCAAATTGTCATGGATTTTCCCTCTCGATTTTGCCAACCCAAATTAGGAAAGGGGGGAGGGTAAAGGGGAAGGGGAGATTCACGGGTGGATGGGGGAGGTGGCCGGCGGGTGAGGGAAGTGGCCGGGGGCTTGGAGTGGACGGATGGGGGGTCGGATGGGGTGAGCTCGGTATGGAGCTTGGCTCGTGAAGTTGAGGGAGGAGGAAAAGATGACAACAAAAAACAACGATATAAGATAAAACGAAAGATGTAAAGAGGAGGGTGGTGGATGAAGACGAAAATACAAAGAGAAAACAACGAACCCGGCCGTCTCCAAGGTTGGTGGGTGATTCGTTTGCCCTTCTCCAAGGGACTTCAAATCACGAGTCCAGACCCATCTTGCGGCTGGTGAAACTCTCGATTTCTCCCATAGAAATCTCACTCTCGTCCTCTCTCAAGAAGAACACAAGTGTGGAAAAATATTTTTTTTCATATCAATCAATCATCACTTTTACAATAGCTTAAGGCCCTATATATAGGCAATAACATGATAAAATAAAAATTACAAAATTGCACCTTGGGCCATAATACTCATATAAACCATCCTAGGGGTACAACAGGAAAATACATTAATTAAGAATTAAAATGCAGAAAAATAAATCATAATTGAAGGTTTAAATCATGGCCGTCGATTTGCGACGCCTCCTGTGATAGATGCGCCAAATCTTTGTACCGATGTCCGCATCACTTAGGTTTCTTTTGGGCTCTAGCAGCGTCTAGAGATTTGGGAGAGATAGATCCTCTTGAATAGAGGATCAATTGTATCTTGTTATTTTTCTTTCATTAGTTTGATTATCGCAATAAAATTATTGTTTCTCTTTTTTTCCTTTGGATTTGTGGATCATTCTCGTTTATTTCATCAAGATAGTTAAGTTTTACTTGGGAATTCCAAGTATTTCCTAACAAAGTCCTGCATAAATCTTAGATAAACTAAGTGGGGGTGTGTGTATATAAATAATCTAAATATCATTTTTTAATGTTCGAACTTTTTATTAATTTTTTTAGAACAAAAATTGCCACAATTGTTGATTTCATTCACTAAATCAAATTATTTCTCTCAAATCAATATTATTTGTCTAAACCTATCTTCCATTGAATTCACCCATAGCTTCCTTGTATAACTCATAAATTTGATTTCCTTGTAATTACTAAAATTTTGAACATCTACTTTGTTCCTAAATATTGATACTAAATGTTTTTTTCTTTAATCTTCTTGAAGTGGGCTTTATTCACATATTAATTAAATCATTTCTATTAAATAAACATAGCATTTCTAAATCTATGCTTCATTGCATTCATCCTCAACTTTGTACAACTCAAAACTTTGATTTCTTATAATAAATACAATTTTAAACATCTCATTATCTTTAAATTTTAATATTAAAATGCTTCTTTTTAATAATTTGATTTCTTCATAATCTTTAAAATCAAGTAAGAAATTTGTTACAAAACCACCCATAATTAATGTGAGAAATGCACAAAGAAAATCCTACTTAAAAGCTCAGTTCTTCCACAGACTTAACAAATAAGTTTTTGTAAAACCTGCCCACCGGTTCACTGAATTGCCATGCCTTCCTCAAGTCAATTAGATACAACAGGTCCATAGAGTGAAGACATTTTGCCTTAGCTGCTTCCATGAAAAAACAAAAGGTTTTATACCTATGCAACAATGATAATCCCCAAACATGCGTGACACTAATTTTTTTTCTTTGCAGTTAGCAGCATATTGAAGGTGAAATTCAAAGCAATAATAATGAAGATAATTAATTTGTCGGAAGTGAAAGCTTACCAGACATTATTTTTAATTAAATTCTTATCAATGAAATTCTTGGCAACCATAGATCCATTAGCATTCACAGAAAGCCATGTCAATTTCTTCCTGTAAATAATCTCAATTCAGCAAAGATAAATAATAATTGAGATATGCAGGCACACAAGTCGGAAAATTTAGATGGTTGTAATAAATCCAAAATCATTATAAAAGCAGCCAAGGCATCTTAAATTAATATAACTTCATTTATTGAAGCTCAAATGGTACCTGCAATAAAAGACCAGTCTCTAAATATGTATCATCCAAGAAAGAGAATTGTTGACATGACTTGAGAGGGCACATAACCGGAACAACCAAATTTGAAAGGTAGAAGGGGGCAATATTTGAGTGCAATTATTAATCAAATTTCATTCCACCATGCAAGTAGACATGAGAGAATAACAAGCATGCATAGTTTCAAGGAACAACCAAAATAAATAATTGGCTTTAAAAAAAAAATCAAGTTAGATTTTTATTTGAAATAACTTGGTTTACTCTGATGAAATGGAAATAAAAAACAGTACCACCCCCAACCCAACTAATGCTGAAGACATTGTCAGTCCCATAATTCTGAGATTTTTTTAATACAAAATTATTATGTCGATTATATAGACATTCCCTAAAAAGGAAAATCATGATTTTCTTCCATAGTACACTATGTCAGAGAATAAACAAGTATCATGTTAATATGTATATGCACAGATATTTGGTAATTGAATGGCCAATAGTATAAACCTAGGGTGACAAAATACTCTGCGATTAGACTTAACAATAGATAACACACAATTTTAAATATGCTAATGAAACATAACATCTAATGTTCTAAACAACAATAGCCCTTGCAAAAATCATAATTTATAAGCCAGTTAAACACAAGGATAGTTCACTGCGTATAGTAGTCAAATGAACTTGCTGAGGCTCACCTAAATTGGCAATTCGCAAGACTAGATGTTAAACCGACTATGTGATCAGCAATCTCAGCTTCATCTATACATTGTCTCGAGTGAACTTTGGTAAAATGGGTTGACAACTTTGCCAAAACCTGAATGGAACAACATTAGTAAACTCCAAATACATATATATTTGGGGGACATTTTTTGTGGCAGTTATAAATTGAAGCAACTATTTCTCCTAACATCAACCTCCTCAACTGGTGGGCGTTTATAACTATTGAAGTTTGATGAATTCTTGTAGTGGCTTTGTTCGCTGCAAATTAGAGAGAAAGATGCTTCAGATGATAATAGTATGAAGAACAGAAAATTTTTTATAAAAATCTTTGAGGAGATCATTTATTGGCTTTGAAATATTTTGTGAGATATTTTATTGACTCTGAAAATCTTGCAATATTATGTATGAATTTACAATAAATTATTTGTCAACAAACTCATTCATCATTATCAATATAAATAGTCTTAAAAAGAAAGGGATTTGCATCCTATAATCACAAACAAACATAGATGAGAGGGAGAGAGAGGGGAGAGAAACTGCCAACCAAGAGAATGAAGGGAGTGCTTTTTTATATTTTGGATGCTTGCAGGAGGAAGATCTTTTGCATCTTTAAGGAGGTGTTGCTAGTTTTGGTTCCATCAAAAGAAGAAAAAATTGGCCATAATAAGAAAAACTCTGGCAACATAAAAAGGAAGAGCAATAATATCTTCTTATACATATTCAACATTTATCTTCAAAGCAGGTGGTTGTGTCCTATCTCAATCATTAGCATGAAAAAAATAATGCATGTGTGTATGTATAACATTATCTTCAATCCTTAATGAATCCATCTTTGAAATCCTAGCGGAATATTTGATCTTTCATAAATCATAGATGTAGGTGGATCTCACCAAACCCTAAACCCTAAACCCTAAACCAATAAATACATATGTTTCATACCTAATGTTATCTCAAAAAAAAAAAAAAAAACCTAATGTTATCTAAAAAAAAAGTATTAAAAAAAAAAAGAAAAACCTTATGTTATCTCATCGTCATTTAGTTAGTTCCCGCCAACCCTCCCTCGCTCCCCCCATAGACACGCATGACGTGGTTTACTTAAACATTGGAACTTCTTTCATTAAGCCTTTTTGTTAACACTTGGATAAGAAAAATAAATTAATAGTTTTTAATCACATTAAAATTAAAGTACTGATGATTAATTATAAATTTGAAGCAAAAGATTAGAACACTGGTTAAGGGTTGAAGCAAAAAATTAGAACAAAATAAGTATATATTTGGCAATAAATTACTTTTTTAAAATATTTAAACCGTTGCCATTTCTTTGGAAGGCTAAGGGCAAGAGTACATAAGCTAGTAATCATTGGCAATGGCAATAATATAAACTTCTACTGAATGTAAATTGAATGAAGAGTGAGATATTTCTTTCAAGTTAGTGTATTGAAATGAGACATCCTTATTCAGAAATAAAAAAAATAAGGTTTAATACTTCACCTCTAGTAAAATCTAGAAATGTGACATTTAGAGCAGGTATGATTTGAAATTATCATTATATAATAACCGACATAAAAGTTTTCTAACAGAAACAAGGATCACAAACATAATCTAACAACTAATAGTAACAGCAGCCCAACCTAGCATATAAAATTACAAATATAAATTTTCAAGAAAAATTTCAATTAAGCAAGCAAAGACGACGAGAAGTGAAAGATGAGTAGCACACTTGATCACTATGCAAACTCTTTGTTGGTCGCACTGTAAGACAAGTCAAGACACTGAATTCAAGATTCTAATTAAAGAATAAAATGAAAAAATAGTTCAGAAATAATAAAAAGTTAAGGAGGATTCTCACCATTTATTTATGAAACTCATCAGCTTGTTTGTTAGATAGCATATTGTGAATAATGGATACTGGCTCCTAACTGTATGGACATGATCAATGAGGGATTCGCTGACTACGAGATCACAAAATTCTTCAGCCTGGTATAGAAGTAATATGTATGGAACATCTGACATCATATTTGAAAGCTGCATAAGATCATGAGTTTAAAAAAAATTATAGTAATTGGAAAAAGAAGTACGCAAATCTCTAGAAAAGTACAACATATGCTGAATAAAGGCTACATGGTCGCTCGGTAAAAACTCAAAATAAGCTTCAAGCATGACGAAATCAAAAGATATAGGAGGTAATAAAAAAGGAAAGAAGAAATTTGATGCAGAAAGGTCAGATTTTCTGGAAATCCCTCCAAGGAAGAGGATCTATTAAGCTTATCCTAACAACAGTCTAGGAATTGATCAAGGAAGAATCAAGCCTCTCAGTTTCATGGTTCTTGAAATCAATGGCTGAATTCCAAATCTTTATTCTATTCATCTACTTATTATTGAATACATATAGAACCTAATAATCATCTCCGTTAACTTGAGACCATTGATATGATATAATGGTGACAATACAAGGGAAAAAAAAACAGTAACCTGGTATGTCACATTGATAGCACAACATTCCCATAATACACTAATATCAGAAAACCAACCCAAAACCCAAAATATTCACCATACCATCTTGTTCTGCATTCCCCATTGTTGCTCCCAACCAACCAAATTATTCACAAATCCATTTTGTTTTTCGTAATCCATTAACTATTATTATGAATCCTCTATCTAAATGCAAATAATGAGGAACAAAAAACAATGCAGAGCTTCTTACTAGCCTAAGTAATCTAACACAATATAACATTTGTTAAATAATTTTAATATTTTAAATTATTATAAACTTTTATTTTCAATTTTAATTTATTAATTGCTAGGATTATCTTAATTCCAAAAAATGATAATATTATTAAGAATTAACCATAATTGGATTATATTTGAATTCAATAATGAAGCGATGCACACACAATTTGGATATAAAAAAAGCAATTAAGTGACCTAAAAAAACTTCATTAATTTATTTAATCTATCTAAAAGTCCGCACAACTAGTCCTATTTATAAAGAAAATAAACCATAAGCATAACATGAAATTATCCTTAAAAAAGCACATTCTATTGAGAATTCCGTGAATGATTTGAAATTGATATTGATCGCATCAAAGATCATCTGATTGCAATGTTGATGGCGATCCTTGGGATAAAGTTGGACTCTAATACTAATTAATGTATACCAAGGAAACGAAAGATTTATGATAGCCTTAAAGAAGCTGAGGGAGAACAAAAAAGGATGACCAGAAAAGAGAGAACAAGGAAAAAAAAAAAGAAAAATCAGACACAAAATCTAATTTTAGGAACAAGCATGCTCAACATCATTTTCATTTCAAAATCATAATTATCCATTACATATCCATTAGGCTTTTATTTGTAATAGAAAGCCCAACAATATTAAGAATAAACAACCAAACTTATCATAATATGAAAAAAAATCATATTGCCTATGAAATTTTAAAAAAAGACAAAACGATTTAAGAAAAGAAATGCAATGATATTTCAACAAAAATATTGATGATCCCTATATTGGTGATTAAGTGGGGATGATTAGTCAGACTTTGGATCAATCTATTATGAAATTATGCCTAATAAAATTAACTTAATTAAAGAATAAACTAGTTAACAAAATTAATCTTAAATGTTTAAATTTAATCTTACTCAATCTTTTTTAATTAAATTTAGTTGTATATTATTATAAAAAAAGACTAAACGGTTTGGATCCTCACAAATATGATCCATTAACTCCTTCAAACCATCAAATTCTGATAGAAAGTAGATGCACTTTCAACCAAATTGGCGAACCAAAAGAAATTGAAAGGAAGAACACACCACAAATGTTTTGATTGCAAAAAATATGAAAGAAAAATAGAAAGATTCAATTGGATCTTCAATTGGAGAGGAAGATGGGGCTCTCCCAAATCCCTAGCCGTCAGCTAGAGCCCTCACAACCTAAAAACTTCTCATTTCAGCAAACACAAGAATAAAACTAACCGTAGCAAAATAACCTCCTTAAAGTATACAATAATTTCCCCGCAAATCCCCAAACAACCCTCCAATCTTTCCCTCCTAGCCACCCCTCTTTCCCCATTCAAATTTAGGCTTGGGCCCCACCCTAAAGGGGGGCTAAAGTCTCTAGCGGAACGGAAATTCCGCCTCTTGTAAATAAGGGCCGATCCCTCCGGGACCGGTTGGACCAATCTAACAATAGCCCCCTACCAAAGACCCACCTTGTCCTCAAGGTGGAAGAACGAAAACTGATGCTTCACTCTCTCGCAAAACTCCCATGTAGCTTCATAGTTAGGTATGCTCATCCATTTTATCAACACTTTCTTAATCCCTCCCTCCCTGTCGTACCCATTTAGCTCTAGTGGTTATAGGGGAGTAAGTGAGCCGAGCCGGCTCGAACTCGACATGTTTATGGGCTCGCGAGCCAAGCTTATCGAGCTCGAGCCGACTCGGCTCGTGAGCTCGCGAGCAGTATCGAATAAATATTAATATTTTTAAATAATTTTATTTTATTTCTTAAATTTAAATATTAAAAAAAATAAAAATCACTTAAATTTTATTTAAATGTTAACATTTCATATTTTTTTAATATAATTATATATATATATATATATATATATATATTTATAATATTAATTTTTTATATAATAATACACATCATATGCGTTGGTGCTTCTCAAACGAGCTCGAGCTTTCGAGTCGAGTTCGAGCTTGATATTTTCTAAACGAGTCGATCTCGAGCCCACTAATCGAGCTTGAGTTCGAGCTCGAGCTCATTAAAGATTAAACAAGCCAGGCTTGATAAGGCAAATGCTCGACTCGACTCGTTTACACCCCTACTCTACACTAGATGCATGATCCCCGATAGCTCTCCTCAACAATGACATGTGGAACATTGGATGCATAATAGTGGTTAGGGGTAACTTCAAGCAATAAGCTGCTGATCCAATCTTCTTCAGTATCTCGTAAGGACCAACTTATCATTCCTCCGGTTAGCAATCACATTTCTCTATAGTGACGAAGATTCAAGTACTCCCTATCCCATTTCACAAATTGGATGTCCTTCCTGCACCCATTCACCTGTTTCTTCATGATCTACTAAGCTCTTAATAAATGCCTCTTTAATTCGGTCAACACCCTACCCCTCTCCTCTAATTACTATTCTACCGATAAGATTTGTGTGCTACTCTGCCTAAAGTGCACCAAGTGAGGTGGATTCCTTCCGTATAACACTTTAAAATGGGTAATCTGTGATGCTGAAAGATATGAAGTGTTGTACAAATACTTCGCCCACGCTAGCCACTTGGCTCATAGTCGATGAGTCTCTGAAACAAAACATCACAGGTACGTCTCACTGCTCTTGTTTATCACCTCCGTCTATCGTTCGTTTATCGGTGGTAAGTGGTGCTCCTCTTCAACATTGTCCCTTGCAACATGAACAACTCCCTCCAAAAAATGACTAAGGAACATCTTATCTCGATCGAATACTATAGACTATGGTATCACATGCAGTTTGGCCAACCCTCTGATGAATGTCATTGCCACTGTTGTTGTCATGTCAGGATGTCATAGGAGAATAAAATGAACATATTTACTCAATCCGTCCACCACCACCAAAATCATTGTGAACCCCTCAGATCGGGGTAACACATATATAAAATCAATAGTGACCTCCCACACTGTCTAAAAAAGCTAGGGGTTGCAGTAATCCCCCTAGAGCTATGGGCATGTATTTGCTTCTCTAGCATACCTCACATTTAGCCACCATCTCCTCCACATCCTTATGCATCCCCTTACAATACAACTTTGTCGCCAATCTCCTCTATGTCTTCTGACCCCTGAATGACCCCCAATAATGCTCCCGTTGAACTACTGCAAAATGAATAGAATATAAACCGAGGTCCATGGCAACACAAACCTCCCCTGGTATAGTAGTCTCTCCCCCTCCAGGGAATAGTAAGGGAGACTACTCACATCCCTCAGTAGATCCACCCTAATCCTCCTCATCTTCTTGTCCTGCACATTCTCCTCCTTAATACCCCCCAATCCAACATCAATGGTACTAAAATGGCTAACACCTAGAGCTCCCCCACACATGTGGACAAGGCATCATTCGCCTTATTCTCTAACCACGTTCTATATTGGATCTCAAAATATACCCCAACAGCTTTGACATCCACCTTTGATGTTCCTCGGATACCATCCTTTGCTCTAACAGGTATTTCAAGCTCCTCTAGTTTGTCCTAACAATAAATATCGGCCCAACAAGTAAGACCGCCATTTCATAATGTCTAATACAATGGCCATCAGCTCCCTCTCATAGACTAATTTTAGCCTAGCCCTGGCTATCAGCACCTGGCTGAAGTAAGCTATAGGCATATAATTATGCATAAGCACTGCCCCCAATCCATATATAATGCATCAATCTCTACTATGAAAATTTGGCCAAAACCTAGTAGAGCCAAGACATGTACCGTGTTCATGACCTTCTGCAGTCTCTCAAAAGTTTAGGTAGTTGTCTCTTCCCACAAAAAGCTATCCTTCTTCAGATTCCAAGGTAGCGGCCAATTTCAGCATTGCCTTAATCTTGACCTAATCAATGGCCACCTCTCCTAAGATACCACGTACCCTAAGTACTCCACATCGGGTTATGCACCGCCTCCAGGAGGGTTAATGAACCACCATCTGCTTTAAGTGAAGATAAATTTTAAATTCAATACTAAAGTCATTGCTAATATATGCTCAGTAATTAGTCCCATCTAATTATTAGCCTTAATCAAAATTGCACCGCCTTTGGGAGGGTTAATGAGCCATAGGGGTATGTGTCTATCAAAAACCTGAACTCAAATCTTAAAGTTCTCACAAAAAGAGGATAACATCTTTGGGTACTATCTTATCTTTAATTTAATTTGCCTTCTAAAAATTAGACTCGACACATTTGTTAACACTCTCCCAAATGCAGAGAGGCAAAGGCGCGAATTTTCAATGCCCACAATTGTTAGTAAGTTGCTAGAGGATTATTACTTATTAACTATGTTTGGTGTGACCAAAGTTCACTAAGCTTGACTAAGATTAATCAAGGATCCTCATAAGGCCAATCCAATTGTCCATCAAAACACTCCAAAAATTTAATTGCAAAACATCTACTCCAATGGATTGTCTCTAATTTTATGAAACTCACCTCTAAAATGCATACCATACACTTGATTTAGGTTCACATCCTTCGGAAATACTATGATTTTTATTAAGAAAAAAGAACCAAATTGGTTCCCTAATTTATTCTGAATGATCAAAATAGTCCTCAACTATATAAAAATAATTTGGCACAATAGCTCGTTAAATGAGGATCAAATTAATCCTCCTATGAGATCATTTTGGTTTCTATTTAGAAAGTCAAGGGAATAAAATGAGGAACATTTTGATCCTTGGCAAAAAGCCAGGAAACCATTTTGATCATTATCACTTTTTATTAATAAGCAAATCAGCTGAGAATTTAGCAGACATTCCCTTGCCATGACATTTGTTGCTGCTTACATAAAATAATAACTTCACAAGAGACTCCACCACAAATCTTACAAAATCAGGACTTGTAACCACCTTTCGTTGTAGATAGATATCTACTTGAATTATAGAACGTCAAATTTGAAAGAATTTCATTCTTATTAATCAAAAACCAGCCAGAGTGCTATTATGAACATCTCAAGAACGATTAGCAAATATAAAAAAGGGTAAAGACAGGTAAAGAGAAAGTTGGCACATCCAAGGAGTAAACAGAAAAATATCTTCCAATTAAAAATTTCTCAAAATGATGGGTTCTTTTTTTTTAACACCAAATCTTATTTTGGTGGTCATTAACTTTGATTCCGTGACAACGAGACTAATACAACAGTCTGACCTGCATTGGTATTTGAAAAGTATAGTTAAGAAGGAAACAATGTGTCATAATTGAAAGATTTAAATCAAGTTAATTGCATTTAATTTCTACGAGTTTTTTTGTCATTTAGATGTTTAGATCAACATTCATGTTATAAAGAATTTAAGATTCAGTAAGGATACTGAATATGATGCCAGTAATCCAACAAAAAGCAATAATTCGGTTTTCATGCTAAAAGTAGATAATCGGACAGTCAGATACAGAAAATATCGGCAAAAAGTCAAAAGTAAAACACCAAAAAGCAAAAAAAACAGAACAAATAAAAGCATTCTAATTTTAAATCATTTGAAAGCAAGCTCACAAAGGGATTCTAGTCACTTTAGTACCTGAGCAATTTGTTCGGGTACAGTAATTTTCCACAAGATTGATTTTTCAATTGGATTTGAGGTTATGCGATAAGATAGACCTCTTTCAGCAAATCTGGCAAGAAGATGTCCTAAATTCCCCAAAAAAAAACTGCGTCGTCATAATACAAATCGCAAAAAAAAAAAAGTTACAAGATCTGGCGTACCTCCAATTGACCCATTTTCAAGAACTTTAGCATCAATTTCAGCTATGATTGATTTCAAAGCCAACTTTCCCTTCTCCCACTTCTGCTTTTCCTTCTCTAGCTTCTTCAACTCAGCAGCTTCAGCTTTTAAAGCTTCCTTTTGCAGCTTCTCATCCTACATTTTAACAAGGAATTTCTTCAAACAGAATCTAAAAGACCAGCCTAGAAAAGTAAGCACGGTCCAAGAAGTTCCAGTTAATGGGGAGTTTTACGAAGACGGGTAATGTAGGAAACCTAACCTATGCTTTAGTATAGTAGCATTTTTTTTAGCAATTTAAATGAGTATCGATGCCCAAATGGATAAGAGTTTTCATATACTATTATCCAGGATGGGTAGAACTAATTAAAAAAATTATCATCATTGTCCAATATTCATAAGGCTTCAAGCTCAGAGCCATAAATGAGAGCTGTCGATGAATATCTTCATATATTAGATGGACAGCTTCATCTGTCATTCTATTATCATAAATTGTATTTTTGATTCCTAAATTTTAATATTATAATTGCTTATATAGGTCTTATGTGTACTCATAGACCTAGAAAGACTCGGCTAGAAAACATTAGAAATGATTTTTTTTTTTTAAATTTACATGAGAATTTGACAGTTAACAGAACATAATGAAGAAAAAAGATTCATGTAGCCGACCACAAGTAGTGGGATAAAAGTTTGATTTTGTAGTTGTTGTTTGACTTATGTGTACTCCTTTCACTATGTATTTGTAATATTATGCTTTATTAAAAAAAAAATTTCCACAACTGGATCAAAACTATCAACACCTGACTGTTGCACTAGGATCTTATCTCTGAAAAAAAAAAAACATACCATTTCTATATTTCCTTATAATACCAACCTGTCTCTTTTGTTTCCTTTCTTCGATTAAACGAGTTTTTTCTTCCTTCAACTGTTTCTTTCTAGCAGCTGCCTCGCTCTTCCAAATATCCTTATCAGCATTAGGAGCTCTCTGCTTTCCCGCCTGTTTAACAAGACTTGGTGATTGCCTCAAATAATTGTTACCATCACCATCATTATCATGTCTTGCCTGCAGAATGGATGATAATTCAAACCTGCTTTAACTTGATTGTTGAAGTATTGAGTTATTCAAAAGCAAAATGCTAATTTATAACCATAACTGAAAACATCAAAAATTAAACCTCAACATAGCTTAGATTTACCATCAAAGATGTTCTACAATAAATAATCTAAATACTAATACTTGACACAAATTTTATTAATATAAGTGGAAGAAACAATTTTATGCTAAAATGTCAACTAAAAGATGCAACAATGATTTGCAAAGAGTAAAGGCTAGAAGTATGGTGTAGAAGAAGATCAAAACAGAGGAACTAGAGTTCATGTAGTTCAGAGGAAAATCATTAAATTGTTTTTTTAGGAGAACAGTTAGTTCTTCATTTTTGCTCCTCCCCAATTACATATGCAAAAGGGATAAAACACCAGTTAGCTACAAGACAAGCTGCACCTTTCTAAGGGAATAAAAACTACGAAACAAACAATAAGTTTTACAGTCAAAAGAAAAAATGTAGAATGTGGCTATCCCACTATTAATAGTAGCCAATAGGGGAGGGACAGAAGCGAGACCTCTACAATACACAAGTTTTTCAAAAGATAACAAGAAAATTTTCACTAAAAATTATACCCCACTTTAAATACATCTCAAAATTCAACAAAATCATTTTTGTTAAATACTATATTTCATATCAATTCTTTAGATATATAAATAATACACTTTTGATTGATTAAATAATTACCTTATAATTAAATTAATCTCCCTATGTTTTTATTTATATCACTGTGGCAAATGACTGAATATACTAAAGAAGTCGCAGTCCCAATCCCGATTATTCAAAGAAGTTGAGGTAAGTTAAGGAGGTGGACTTTAAGAGGTTTATCAAAATTTATATACAGCTATCTATATAATGCTTATAATAGCATTATCCCTAAGCCTCATATCACTATTTCCTCCCCAATAGCTGAATCTTCACTGGAAGACGAGTTGCAGCAGTTGGCCAAACAGCAGATGTCGGTTGACAAATATAGCAGTGGGCACGGGCACTACTATAGCAAGGTTGCTATGGCATCAATTGATATAGTAGCAGAGAAAAAAATAAATTTCTAAATGCGACTACTTTAATAAACATATTAATCAAGAACAGGAGCGAAAAATCAAATTTAAAAAACAAAACAAAACACCTACGACATGGCAATTTTCATCACCACGTGGCATGTCACCCAGCAACTGGCGACTTTCTTGCAACGCAGCGAAAATTGCAAGCCATGTGGCATTTTTTTTAAAGCAAGATAACTGTTAGCTTGCTATTGGCAAGCACAAAAGGGCTATTTAAGCCTCATTCTACCTCATTTGGTCCTCTTTCTTCCCATCCACCCACTTCCACTTCTCCTTAGCTATCTTTTTTATTTGAGTTTTATTGAGACAGAAGTGCTATTTCGCCCGAACCAGTAAAAGATGATCCTTTTTTCAATGACAAAATTTGATAAACTTTCTTGTTTTTATTTAATTTTTGTAAGAATAAAATAGATTTTCTTAAAAAAAATTCTTCTGAGTGTTTTTTTGTGTAAAGGGAGAGGAAAATTTTTGAATGGACGTGAAATTTTAAGTATTATAGGTTTGAATGTATAAAAATGTGAGGATATATTTGAGGACATAACTTCAAAATTACATATTGGATGGTTAAAATAAATATTATTTAGGTGTTCATTCATGATTACTTATGCAGGTATCCATCCGCAAGTGTCTTGCATGTTACGATTAGATCAAGCGAACGGAATAAGTACTCTCCCCTTAGAACAAATCGTTAGAGAGACTCGCTCAGGCGTTGGAAGGAGCTTAACATTGGAGCGAGGTGAATCGAAACCGGTCACATTCAAGAAGTCGTCCCCCCCCCCCCCGCCGGCTCGAGCTCGTTTACAGTGGGACAAGCTCGAGTTCGAACCGACTTTGTGACCGACGAGCCGAGCTCGATAAGGCCATTATTCGACTCGACTCAACTCGCTTACACCCCTAATTGAATTACAGCTCCCCTGGGCCCCACAAGAGGGGCTGAAACCTAGTCTATCCTACTCTGGTTCCCGTCTAACAATTATGCTAGGTTCGGCTGGTTTGGACCAAACAAAGGCCCCTTGCTCCCGCTCCTGTATGGCGTAACAGCGGCCCTACACCCACATGCATGAATTGATAGGAATCTGAAGTGTAAGATGTCTCATGTTAGTCTTCCTCGAACTGTTGTTGGTAGAAAAATATGTTGTGATATGCTCTTGTAATAACCCAAAGACCATCAATATACATTGTCCATATGTAATAGTCACATTAAGCCAACTTCGTATAGATTATGAGGCCTAGGTCTCTTCATACTATATTATTATTAATTATAGACATAACTGTTATTCCCCAAAGATTGAATGTCAAGATTATACCAACACCGGTATTAAAGAACTTCTGCCTCCTAATTCCTAGAGGAGAGCCGATCATCCAAGGAGCAGTGGGTATAGAAACATCATGGATGAGTTGAGCCCGCAACCCAATAGAATTTGAAGTTTATGTAGGAAAGTTGTGCACAATACATCAACATGTACTCTTAACCCAACAAATAATCATAATTATTTTCATAATCTTCTACCTAATGGATGCACAATTTTAACATTAAAATATTAAATTACTTCTTCTTAACGAATGTATAATTTTTCGCTAAACATTTCAAAAACAACTTCTTATTGACGTAGGTGATATGGCTGAAGTAGGTAGAAGACAGCACCAAAGGTAGAGTCAAGAGTCGGCGCACACACATACATCTAAGGCTGTCAAAAATTGACATGACACGATAATCCGACCTGAAATTTTCAGGTAAGACCTGACCTGATTTAGAAACGGGTCAAGTTCGGGTCTATAAATCCGACCTTATTTTTGGAGTTTGTGTCAAGTATCAACCAAAAAAAATGATGTGGTAGAAAAAAAAATTGAAACGAACATATATATGTTAAAAAATTGTTTATGACTATGACTTGTCCTCATGAATTGTACATCCAGCTTTAGAAATGGTCGAGATACCTGGGCAACTAAATCCTCTGCCAAGCAGTCCTCACTTGGTAGACTGTCTCCTGACAGCTGTTTATTGAAAGAATAAAACAAATAGATTTGGAGTGCATTAGCCATGTACAGCATGTCAGGCTTGATCATCATTTGCTGATGACATTGATTGAGAGGTGATCACCAGAGACGAACACGTTTTATTTCTCATTTCATGAGATTATTATTACATTATAGGATTTTGCTTTTATTTTTGGAGTTTGTGTCAAGTATCAACCAAAAAAATGATGTGGTAGAAAAAAAAATTTGAAACGAACATGTATATGTTAAAAAACTGTTTATGACTATGACTTGTCCTCATGAATTGTACATACAGCTTTAGAAATGGTCGAGATACCTGGGCAACTAAATCCTCTGCCAAGCAGTCCTCACTTGGTAGACTGTCTCCTGACATCTTGATGAAATCAGATATTCCTAAATAATATATAGATCATTACTAAAAGCATTGAACTTCTAATTAAAATCATCAACTGCAATATGCAATCCCTTCAAGATCCATACCAGCATATCCATTAGAAGAATAGGGTTTAGCAGTTGCAGTAGTTACAACCAAGTCATCTTCGCATGCTACATCTTTCATTCGACAGAATAATACATCATCTTCACTTTCAGACGTTGAATCCAATCTAGAATTTTCCATAGGAGACCTGGAGTGGCAAGCTGTCCTTCCAAGCCATTCAACCAAATTCCCAGATTCTTTCAATGTTCCTCTACTGGAACCACCCTCAGATTCATTATCAGACTCTAGACATATTAAACTGGATATTCCTAGAGAAGAAGAATAATAATAAATATAAGCCATGCCTATATGAACCACAATTCTGTCACAAGAATATATACGAAAAAATTTAAGCTACTCATGCAAATAAAAAAACATAGCACAGAAATAGAATGGAAGAAGCCTTAAAAAACAGTAGTGCTCGGATGTTCAACCCAATTAGCAGGACACAGTAAAATATTCTGTAAGAAGTCTATGTTAGAAACTTAGAACCCCATGGCAGGCCAACACATCAGGATTTACGCCACACTTTCAAATAAAATATATGGTATAAGAACAGGTTTATAGAAATTCTAAGGAAAATGCATTAAATATTAGCTCAAGTAGACAAGATTTATGAAGTTCAAACTCCATTGGAACAAAATAGTAATCACTAAAATTACTCCACATACATGTGCAGTACTAACTACTTAGCCATTGGTCTCTGGCAAGTTCGAAAAGTTAAGAGTGCAGAAAAATAAAAATGATTTCCAACTTTAACAAAAAAAAGGAAATAGGAAATCAAAATAGGAGTTGTTGCAAGGCAATATAAGTAATATACAAACCTAATTAAAAAGCAAGAATAAAAAAAAAATCGGAGTTTGGCCAACCGTGAACATAGATGCACATATTACAATAATTTTCAGAAACAAAACAAGGAACTATGCAGTGATAATTGTTATCAATAACAAGTTTGACAAAGCTATTCAAGTCTCCAACCAATGAGGCACCTTCTTCAAAAAAAAATGCATGCAAGAAGAACTTCTTACAAATGGTTGGCGTCATCCAAAACCGTCTGGCTTTGTTAATAAGGCAAATACTCAGGTTTTGATTGGGACGGCTTTCTTGCTGCTTCTTAAATGAAGCCTAAATGCTTGTAACCAAAACCACATCATGCATTTTTGCTTGTTATTTTAGATGCAGCCAAAGGGTGGTAACTTTTACGACCTCTCTAATATCTTAGGCTTGACACTTATCAATCTTATCGTAAACTTACAAAGTTAAAAAAAAAAAGAAAAAGAACACAACAAAAACAGAATGCCACAAAACCTGCAATTCTTCTATAAGAAGAAAAGCAAACCTAGGGTAAGGGCATCTACCAGCGAACTTCTCCCGTGAATGTGTGCGAGTGAGGGAGCACTTGACGATAGACGCATCGGAGCCGAACGATAAAGGGGTTTCGGCGACGACGGAGGGCGTGCAAACCGGATTACGCTTCTGAGGGGTGGGGTCATCATCGATGACCAGAAAGGGAGGATCAGATTCTCCGTTCCCGCCAGATAAATTCTCCGTCCACTTCCTCTTGGCCCGAGAATGTCGAGGTGAGAGAGCGCAGGAAGCGTCCTCTTCGTCGTCGGAGAGGATATCGACGGTGAAGAACGCCTGCGAACGGCCCATCTCGAAGCCAAAAGCGGAAAGCTTGTGCTGCTCTGCGTGCACGGTTTCAAATTGAAAATGACAAATATTACTGATATGTCATCGAAAAATTATCTTGATCGGGCACGGATTTCCAGACAAAATCAACCCGAAACTTTTTTTTTTTTTTTTTGGAAATTTTGGGTCGAAAGCCCATATATTAAACTAAAATGAAATTACTAGTAACAAAAGAAAAACCTGTAAGAAAATAAAAAGTAACAAGCAAGCCAAACTACCACAAAGAAAATGGGGAGGAGGTCAAAAGCACGACTCAGGAAATCAGGCTGATCATCATGACTTCAGATTTAAAAATTTTGGGCATCAGCAATCAGCAAGCCAACGGTTGCCACAGGCCTGCCAAGGCCAATGATCGGTAAGCATAGGGCCATCTTCCCACAGGGCCATCCAGGGAAGAAAGCATACACGAAAAATTGGTGTCAGGCACCCAAAAACCTGGTTCATCATTGTTCAGAAGGCAAAATTTGACACAAAAATCCCAAACGCATGTAGCAGCCCAAAAATGTTATATTATTCCATGAAAGGTTGCCACAGGCCTGCCAAGGCCAATGATCGGTAAGCACAGGCCCATCCAGGGAAGAGAGCATACATGAAAAATTGGTGTCATGCACCCAAAAACCTGATTCATCATTATCCATAAGGCAAAATTTGACACAAAAATCCCAAATGCATGTAGCAGCCAAAAATGTTACATTATTCCATGAAAGGTATCCTTGAGCTTATCATAAGAATTCAATTTACTAACTTTGAACTTAATGGCTTATTTGATATTGTGCACAACAGAAGGACTGGCCCAGCAATTGGAGAAGCGACGATTTTTCCTCTCTCCGTAAGTGATATATGATGTAGCTAATCAACAGATAACAAAAAAAATTTCCCAAAGTGCAATAATGACTCCCAAAATCCAGAAATTCAAAAGCTTGCAAAATATTCGACCTAAGTAGGAAAGAGCAGAAATTTGGTAGCAACACATTCAAAATCATAAAAGAGTAATCGCATTCAAAGAACAAGTGATAATGTGATTCCAGCGAGTTTTGACAAAAAGAACAGGCAGCCGGAACATCAAGACCTTTCCTAATAAGTAAATCTGCACATTTAAGTAAATCTTATAGAACCTTTTTTAATCCAGATATATTTGTACCATGCAACTTTGTCCAGATTGGCATGAAAAAAATCAGTGAATTGTTTGAAAGTAGGATGCTTATAACCATCCAAAGCCAAGGCCGGTTGCTCCAAGATATGAACATTGAGGATAGCCGCCCTTAAAGAATCAGGGACATTATTCGGAATGATCCACTGGCCATTGGAAATGAAAGTATCCACAGTTAAATGGGGAAAACCATTTCATGAGGAAATTTCAGATAAATATCTCCCATAGCACCATGGGTCCCATAGCATGGAAAATTTGCAAAGGGATGAAACAGAGAGATGGACAGAGGTTATAATTTTCTAAGCAATAGAGCATAAAAACTTCCAGGTTTTAGATGCATGAGACGGTGGGTTCTTTCATGGAGAAACATTGCTTTAAACCAAGAGCAAAAAAGAGAATCATGCATGAAAAACCTCCAAATGCAAGAACATAACGACCCAAAATAAAGGGAGTCAAATGAAGGAATGCCAAGTTCGCCATTACATTTGGGCCTAACTGTAGTACTCCAGGATATGAGATGAATTTTCCTGTCAGAAATGTTCCCATGATAAAGAAATTTAGCACAGAGTTTAGAGATAGTGATACGGCAACCCGGAAACTTCAAAAATTAAATTCGGGATTAGCTGCACTCCGATTTTAGCAAACATACAGTCAAAAGGAGCGTCTCGGAAATACAAACCCAACGACACAAAATTCAACTCAATTCGAGCCCAAATGAGTCCAAATCAAGTACCTGAAATGCTATTGGAAAGTTCAAACCATAATTTGAGTTACCAAACGGTTTTCAAATATGATGTTCTTATAGTCGAATCGAGCGGCTCGATGAGAAAAATCCAACGAGCCCAAGATCACCAAATTCCAACATCATTAAAACCTTCAAATGTCTGACAAACGGCGCATGATCAAGGGATTTAATATCGGTCGTCCATTCGACCACTCCCTATTTATCCCTAATCTCTCACATATTTACAAGTTAAGCCACTCCAGAAAATCTATAAATAGACCCCTCATTTTCTCTTGAGAGGGGGCCAAAGCAATAAGTAAGAGAAGAAGAAGAAAATAAGAGAAGGAAGATAGGAGGGAAGAAACTCCTCCTCGACCACCGTCGTCGGAACTCTGTCTGACTTTCACGGGATGCTGGAATTCTGCCAGACTTCCATAGTGACGCCGGAATTCCGCCCGACCTCCAAGTTACACTGGGGTTTCGCCCGAACTCCAAGCGACGTCGGAGTTTTGCCCGAATACCATCTAACAGTGAAGTTCTCCCGGTAGCCAACTGAATTCGAACTTCTACCCAACGACGGACCTCCGCTTGTCGCCGTATTTCTACCCGACGCCGGACTTATTCCCGTTGTCGGGCTTTCGCTGGAAATATATCCGATGTTGGATTTATGTTCATTGCTGTACTTCTACCTGACAGTCCTTCCGGCCTCTGTCGCTCACCGACTGCGGTCCTCATAACTTACGTCGCCCACCGACTACAGTCCTTCCTACCTCTGTCGCACTCCGACTATAGTCCTTCCGACTTACGTCGCCCACCAACTACAGTCCCTATGACCTCTGTCGCCCGTCGACTACGGTTATCATGACCTACGTCGCCCATTGACTATAGTCTTTCCGACCTCCGTCGTCCGTCGACTACGATCCTTCTGACTTGCGTCGCCCACCGACTATAGTCCTTCCGAGCTCCGTCGCCAGCCAACTACAATCCTCCTGACTTACGTCGCCCACCGACTATAGTCTTTCCGACCTCCGTCGCCCGCTGACTACAGTCCTTCTGACTTGCGTCGCCTACCAACTAAAGTCTGTCCTACCAAACAAACACGTCAACAGTGACTCTTTTTATTCACATCATGTAATGTATTCTATAAGATGTACATCAAGCTAAGGCCTTCCCCCAATGAAGAGCCTCATTTGTAATCAACTACAATACTAGTGGATTCATTCAAATTGGGATAGGCCCCGTAGTTTTTCCCCCTTTTTAGGGATTTTCTACGTAAAAAATTTGATGTCTCTAATGAATGATGCACCCGCTCTTTTTATTTGTGTGTGCTGGATCTTCGTACAACGCTAAGACATTAAACTTTATATTTCTCTACCGTCGCAAATACTCCAGGACACAACAATTACAATAAGCCGGTTAGGCAGCTCACTTCGGGTGCGTTTGGGAAGTTGATGTAGGTTGTGAAATTATGTATAAAAAATCAAACAAATTTTAAATAAACTTAGTATATTTTATTTGAAAAGTATAATTATTTAGCTGCTATGCTGCAGCTGTATAAGCATAAATTATTTTGATATTATTATATACATTTAAAAATGAATAAAATTATATTAAAACTTCATGAGCTGAATATTAAAACTTATTTGGAATAGATTTTTTATTTCTTTTTAAATCAGATTTTTATTTGAAAAGTTTTAATTTGTGTACTACAAAGTAAGAAAACCTTCCCAAACGAAACATAAGAGTCAAATTATCATTCAAATATAATTTAAAAGCTTAGACCAACACAACACTTTATAAAAAATAATAATATAACTCTAAATAATATCAGACTACAAATGAAGAACTAGTGTTATATTTTTATTTCTACCAAATATCACATTTTTATTTTCCAGAACTTAGGTTTCATTTGGGACGGCTTTCTTACTGCTTCTTAAAGCAACTTTTCAGTATAAAATTTTTTAAAATTTTATACTAAAAAACTGCTTTAAGAAACAATAAAAAAGTCATCCCAAACGAAATCTTAGACTGATTGAAATGGCTGATAGTAAGGTCTTGAATAACAAATGACAAATAAGTGATTATTGAAGCAGTGTTCAGTTAATCTGAGCTGAAATATTTTTAAATCTATGCTTAATAATCCATTGGACCATAATAATTACAAACTTGAATGAATATAAATAAATTATATATATACACTACTTTTTTTGGTTCTATAAAGTAAATTATATGTAAAAATATATAATTAACAAGTCATAAAATCACAATATTTCTTCACTTCGTAACTTCTTTCCAAGCTCACAGAGCTCCATAAGCCAAGCTAGGAAACCACAATTCTGGCGTATGTCAGAAAACATAAATTGTAATTTAACGAATGAACAAAACAAAGCTATATATCAAGCATTCCTGCAGCTATGAAAAATATTATTTATAAAAGAAAACTGTGAACAAAACAAAACATTATAAATCAAAATTCATGATTTGTTACATCGATCTCCTTCGCTAGCTAATACTCATTGGCCAATTCGATACTCATACGTTTCTGGATGTATATATGATTGATCCCTATCGCAAATATTGAATTATGGATTATCCCGCGAGGGATGACGCTGTATGTAGTTATGTAATGTCATTGAAGCCACCACTATTTTCATATGCTTCTTGAATGAATATGTATGTATATCACACAACATTATTATTTTTTTTTCAAACACCAAATAATCTTTCAATCTCACGTCGTAGTGAATGAGTGACGCTTGTTAAATGTTTATTTTCTCTCACGTAAGGATTAACTTTCTCTTTGAAAATCAGGAATATGATACTTTGTACTATAAAATGATTATAAAAAACCCTCATTGCATCAGGCACCTGGCATCCTTAAGATAATATTTATCTATTTGTAATTGCACATTATTTAGTTAAAGAACAACTACAATGGTTGATTATAATAGAAAAATACATGCTTATTTAGCAGTGGCATAAGAAATTGATATTATTTATTATTTATAGCAAATTTAAAAATATGCCTATCATGTTCACTACCCTCACAACCTACCATAGTAAAAGTAAAACACATGTTGAAGTTATAAACTGTCATAACATTTTGCGTCATTGAATCACATCTTCCTATACAAGCCACATCTTAGCACAAGAAACACAAGTATCCACATGTGCTTCATGGATAGCTCCTATACAGTCCTATGTAAGAAGCAAATTTTTTTTTTTGTTAAACAAAATTTTATATATTAAAAGACAACCAAAAGGATACAACAGCAAAAAGAAAAATAAAACAGACAAAAGACAACAATAAGGAAAAAATAAGCTAAAAGCGAGCTCAGAATTTGGTCAAGGCTCCCAACGTCCCAGTCATCCCACACGGACCCTCCAGTAAAGTGTAAGCAAAGAACCATCGAACCATCCCGAACCGCACACCAACGGTTGCCACGAGCAAAAACGCCGGAACGTGAGCCCCGACCCCATCATTGCTCATAGCCACACACATCATCAGAACGGTCAATAAAGCCAACAAAAACC